AGTCACAGCGAGAGAGGGAGAGAGAGGCAGAGACACAGGCAGAGGGAGAAGCAGGCTCCATGCATCGGGAGCCCGACGTGGGATTCGATCCCGGGTCGCCAGGATCGCACCCTGGGCCAAAGGCAGGCGCTAAACCGCTGCGCCACCCAGGGATCCCCGAATAAAATCTTTTTAAAAATAAAAATGAAATTAGATAATTTCATGTGGAATAGTATCACAAAGAACAGGAATAAATTTAACAAAAGACATGCAAAACTTATATTCTGAAACCCACCAAATGTTGTTGAAAGAAAGAAGACCTAAATAAATAGATGTTCCATGTTCATGAATCAAAAAACTTAATATTGTTAAGATGGCAATACTCCCTACATTGATCTACAGATTTAATGTAATCTCTATCAAAATCCAAGCTGCCTTTTTTCTGTGAAATTGCCAAGCTAATTCTGAAATTCATATAGAAATGCAAGGGACCAAAAATTTTCAAAACAATCTTGAAAAGAAATATCAAAGTGGGAGGATTTATATTTCTTGATTTAAAAACTTACTACAAAGAGATGGTCTTGAGTGGCTCAGTTGGTTGAGCATCCAGCTCTTGATTTCACCTCAGGTCACGATCTCAGGATGTGGGAGTCTTCTTGAGATTCTCTGCCTCTTCTTCTCCCCCTCCCCCACTCCCATGCACATGTGCTCTCTCTCTCTCTCTTTCTCAAATAAATAAATTTAAAAAAAAAACTTAGTACAGGGGCAGCCTGGGTGGCTCAGCGGTTTAGCACCACCTTCGGCCCAGGGCGTGATCCTGGAGGCCCGGGATCGAGTCATATATCAGGTTCCTTGCATGGAGCCTGCTTCTCCCTCTGCCTGTGTTTCTGCCTCTCTCTCATAAATAAATAAAATAATAAATAAATAAATAAATAAATAAATAAATACTTAGTACAAAGATATATAGTAACCAGGACAGTCTGATACTGGAATAAGGATAAACATATGGATCATAGAGCAGATTGAAAGTCCAGAACTAAACCTTATTTTGTATTTATGCTTAATTGATGTTTAACAAGGGTGCCAAGACAATTCATGGAAAAAAAAAATAGTCTTTCCAACAAATGATGCTGGAACAATTAGGTAACCACATGCAAAGGAATCTTAGGCCTTTTTCTTACATTGTGCGTAAAAATGAATTCAAAAGGGACTAGAGGTGGGGGAAAGGGAAATTCTTTAGTGAATATAGAGTTTGTTTCACAAGATAAAAAGTTCTGAAGATTGGTTGCACAACATAGAAGTACTTAACACTACTGAACCGTGTACTTTAAAATGGTTAGGATGGTACATTTTATGTTATGGATATTTTACCACAATCAAAAAAAACATTTTTAATAAAAATGTTTAATGTTTAACTCAAAATGGACCATAGACCTAAATGTAACAATTAAAGCTATAAAACTCTTTGAAGAAGACTAAGGTAAATCTTTGTGATTTGGGGTTAGACCAAGCCTTCTTAAACACCAAAAGCATAAATGACAAAAGAAAAGATAGGTAAGTTGGACTTTAAAGGATGCTCTCAGGAAATGAAAAGACCTCCCACCAATGGGAGTAAATATTTGCATTTATCTGATAAGGGAATTGTATCCTCAGAATACATAAAGAACAATTGCAACTCCACAGTAAAAAGACAATAATCCCAACTGGAAAACAGGTGAAGGATCTGAACAGACATTTCTCAAACATACAAATGGCCAAAAACATATAAAAAAATGTTCAGCATCGTTAGTCATTAGAGAAATGCAAATGAAAATTACAATGAGAAAGCACTTTATGCCCCCTGTAATGGCTATAATAAAGAAGATAGACAATAGCAAGTGTCAGTGAGGACATGGACAAATTGGAACCCTAATACCTTGCTAGTGGGAATGTAAAATGGCACAGCCATTTTGGAAGGCAGTTCTGCAGTTTATAGTTACCATATGACCCAGAAATTCTACTCCTAGGTATATACCCAAAGAAATAAAGCATAGAAAAGTGTACACAAATGTTCATAGCAGCATTATTCATAATAGCCAAAAAGTAAAAACAACTCAAGTATCCATCAAATGATGAATAGATAAATAAAAGTGGTAGATATGTACAATGGAATATTATTCGGCTATAAAAAGACAAAGTACTGATACATACTACAACATGGATGGACCCTATAAACATTATTCTAGGGGAAAGAAACCAGACACAGAAGACTAAGTATAATGTAAAAATGGGATGCAGAATAGACTGTAAAGGTTTAGCATATATTAGTACTGCCTGGGTGAATAAATGAATTAATAAGTAAAATACCCATGCCAACTGGATTTAGAAGGTGAAAGAGACATGAAAATATGGTAAAGCTGAATTTTCTAAGCTGGGTGAGTGAGGGGCAGATGGGAACATTACAGAGACCTGGAGACACAGGGTAGGATCTGAAGCTCTCAGGTCCCAGAGGAAAGCACAGATGTGAGAGCCATTGGCTTAGAGGTGATCAGGAAGGAGAGGTGATGGTTACATTCACCAAAGAAAGAAGTTCAGAAATAAGTCCAGGTTGCAGGCAGCTGAGCCCTCTGCCCTTGTTTCTGGAAGAGGGTGTCTAAGACCCTGGGCATTCAAGTGGCATGAAGGGTGTGTGGTACTCGGGAAAGAACTGAGGACTCAGTCAGAGGACCCAGATCATTTGCTTTAAGCTCCTCCATCTTGCTGTGTGACCTCTGGCAGCTGATCTTATCTGAGGCTCTTTCTTCACCTGTAGTGGGGTATAATAATCCCAGCCCTCTTTCCCAAAACTGTTGCTGGACCAAAAGAAAGAATGCATAAGAAAGTGCTTTGTAAACCGTAAAAGACTCATCAAATGTAAGGGGTTGTTATTATTGCAGTGGGAGATGCAGAAGGCCAATAAAATGGATTTGGTTGCAGTAAGCACAGGGGTTACTTTCTGTTTCTTAAAAAAAAAAAAAAAGGAAAAAAACCCAGCAGCGGCAAGTACTGCCAGGTGCACAACGTAGTTTTTCCAACTTTGAGAAGCAAATAACCGAGAGGGGCCAACTGGCTCATCCCAAGAGGCCTGTCTTCACCAATAGAATCAGAAATCACGGCTCAGGGAATAGTTACAGGCAAGAGCCAGGACAGCAGGCCCTGTCCTGGCAGGGCAGGACCCAGGGGGTGTGGAGCCAACAAAGGTTGTCCACATGGCCCAAGACCTGGTCCCTGGGCTTCTGCGGCTTGGAGCTTCCTTCAGTCCCCACCCAACCAGATGTACTCCTTAGGGTTCCAGGTGGCCTGTGAATGGTGTTGCCTGCCCCCAGGCCACATTCAGGAGTATCACCTCAGGGTTAGGCAGAAAAGTGACCCTGGTTTCACCACAAAATAGGCCAGGCTGAGTGTCTATGGCTCCCCAGGTGGCCAGCCTCATTAGTGCTCAGGGCCGCACTGGGCCTGCCAGGATTGTGGGCCAAGTTCAGCGCAGGAGGCGTGGGGAGGCTGGGACTCTGGGCCAAGTCCAGCGCAGGAGGCGTGGGGAGGCTGCTTCCAGTTCTTTTCAGGCTCCGAGACACGTCCTTCCAATGCCTGGCTAAATGGGAGCCCCTGAAATTTGTGCCAGCCTAGACACAGTCCTCTCAAATAGTACCTTTAAGACAGCCACACTTTTCTCAAATCTTCTTGGCCAGGGCTAGAGAAGACGTTAATGACCATCTAGTCCAGCCTGCCTGCCCCTGTTTTCAGTTGAAGAACCCGAGTCCCAGAGGCAGAAACTTGCTGAAAGGTCAGATCAGGGGAGCTTCCCTGAGGCCGAACCACAGTTCTGAGAACAAAAATTGAGTCTCTGACCTCTCAGCTGCCCACCTCCTCCCTCCCCTCCTTCTTTCCCCATTACTAGTATTTTCCAGTCTCTTCTCCTTGGGGCCACTGCCCTCTCACCTCTCTGAACTTCCTGGCCAGCCCTACCGGCCTGAGGTCTCCACCTGAGGCTAAGATTCTGCTTCCCCGCCTCTGCTCTGCACTGGCCAGTTCAGAGAGCTCACCCGCTGCCCCAGGCTGCCTCAGAGATGCTCCCTAGGCAGTGGCCTGGGACATAGGGGGGGTGAAGGTGAGGTCAGGAGCTACAAAAGCAGGTCCCATTCAGCCACCAATGGTTATGCATTCACTCTTCAATCCCTGAAAACTTGCTGAGGACTTAAACTCAGAGCCTTGCACAAGACATCAAGTCACAAGCTACTACTTACCAGCTCAGCCCTGTATGCAGGTGCTCCCAGTCTGGTGGAGGTGGCACCCAAATGGGCATTTGCCACCAGGGTGATCAGCATAGGATAACAGGGCAGCACAGGGGACTCTAGAGGCCCAGAGGATGCCTCCACTACCCCCAGCCTGGGCAGTGAGAGAAGGCATTGAGCTCCAGTGCAGCTCGAGGAGACACTGCCTAAGCAAAAAGGTGGGGAAAGGCATTCCGGGAAGCCCACACTAAGATGAGAAGGTAAGTGGCATGACAGGATCAGGGAACGGTGCTGGATGTCATGTGGGTTAAAGCATAGGCTGGGCAGGGGTGAGGGTGGGTGAGGCCGGGAGTTGGCAGGGGCCATATGTGAAGGGTGCTAAAGGCAGGTCCAACGTGTATTTTCCAACACGACCAAGCCATTAAGTCAATTCTGATGCTGTTGACCTGGAGATAGCATCCAATCCAGTGGGTCAAAGGCTCAGGCCCTCAAGACTGCCCCCATCTATGCTTCTGGCCGATTGGTTATAAACTGGAAGGTCCTTCAACATGTTCCTCAGGTTCAATTAATTTGGTAGAGCAGTTCACAGAACTCAGAGGAACATTTACTTCTGTTTACCAGCTTATAATAACGGATATTATAAGGAATACAGATGAATAACTAGATAAAGAGGTAGAAAAGGCAGTATCAGGTCCAACCTTCCCTTTGCCCTCATGTCCTAGAGAGGTGCTGGGGTAGACCCAACGAGCCCATATTCTTTGTAGAGTGCTAGGCTTGCTATTTCTTTTCCTTACTAAACCTTGTCATCCTTGTGCTGGGACCATACTAATTGTCTCTGTATTGTTCCAATTTTAGTATATGTGCTGCCAAAGCAAGCACTCCTGACTGAACCTTAGGCTTCCCATCCAGCAACAGGAAAGATGAAACCCAATCACATCTCAGGGGATTTCACCCCCTGGTGAATCAGAATCGACTATGGAACTTTGTACATGACACATACATGGGCCCCATCCCAAGATTATTAAATCATCCTTTCATTCCACAAATATTTGTGTGCATATACCACGTGCTGGATGGACATAGTTCTAGGCAGTAGGGATATGGCAATGGGCAAATCTCCTGGCCCACCTTCATGGAGTTTACACTCAGATCTCTGGAGATGGGCCCAGACATCTGTACTTAGAAAAGCTCCACTAGCGATTCCAAAGCCTAATTGTGTCGCCTTCAAAATTCATATGTTGAGGTCCTACCCCGTCTGTAACTCAGAATGTGATTGAACTTGGAGATAAGGTCTTTAGACAGGTAATTGAGTTCAGTGAAATCACAGGATGGGCCTAATCCAATATGACTGGTGTCCTTATAAGAGGAGATTAGGACACAGAGAGGAGAGACCATGTGAAGCTACAGCGAGAAGGTGGCCATGTACAAGCCAAAGAGATGCATCAGAAAAAAACAACCCTAACAACACTTTGATCTTAGACTTCTAGCCTCTAGAATTGTGAGGAAATGGCAGCAAATTAAGATACTCAGCCTTACTCAGGAACTACTTCTTAAAGAACTGGACAAAGATGCAGAATGCAAATGGGAAGCACATCTGGGTAGTGTGGCTAGGTAACCCAAAGCTTAGAGACATCTTTATAGGTTCGGCCTGATAGAAGTCAGTTAGCTTCGTGTGTTTCACAAAGGCATGACCCTGTTGGAAATGTAGATGCTACTGAGAAGCCTACAGAGTCCTGCCCCAAACCCTGACAGGCCTGGCACAGGCTCCTACTCATCTACAAAGAACCACATCCGCAGGAGTGACCAGCAGAACCCCAGGGTTCTTACGTCCACAAGGAGGCTCCAGTTGGGACAGGCCTTGGGAACAGCACCAAGAACCCATCCTGCCCAGAGAGACCCAGCATGGGCAAGGATCTGGCCTGAGGTCACACAGCATGATGGATACAATCCAAGCTGGAATCTCACCCCCTGCTGGTTCCAGCTGCTTTCTTCCTCAGCCCCGGCACCTCGCCCAAACCTGCTGCCACCCGCTCTGCTTTCCCACCCTCTCCTCCCCACCTCTCTGCCTCTGACTAAAGCCAGGAGCATGATTTCAGAATGATGAAACTCAGCTCCTGAGGTCACGCCGGCCTCTTTCAGTGGCTGTAATTTTGCACGGCTTCATCCCCCCCAGGAGGCTGGGGCAGCTGCCAGACTTTTGGCACATGTCTGGGGGGAATGTGAGGATGAGACAACCAGGAGAGATCACTCAAGCTGGGTCAAGAGGAATTGTGCATTACAGATTGTCTCCTGACCCAGCACGGGTCTGGGGGACACACAGACCGATAATGCAACCTTGTGCTCATGTCATGCCTTAACTCAGGCTTTCTACATCAACACCATGAAGCTGCTTGTACCTCTGTCCCCCAAGCCATGCTGACTCCTATCTCTGGGGGCTTGCTTCTCTGCTGTTTTGTCCAGATTGTTCTTTCTCTTTTCCTGTCCTCCTTGTCTGCTCTGCCTGGCTTCTCCTACTCATCCTTTAGGACCCAGCTCTGACATCACCTTTTCTATGGAGCCTGCCCTGACTGGATAGGGAGCCCCCACTCCCAGCAGGTGGGCTTATATATTTCTCAGTGTACACTTATAATAATCTCTCTTTATGGGGCACCTGGATGGCTCAGTGGTTGAACATCTGCCTTTGGTTCAGGTTGTGATCCTGGGGTCCTGGGATCGAGTCCCGCATCGGAATCCCCACAGGGAGCCTGTTTCTCTCTGCCTATATCTCTGCCTCTCTCTGTGTGTCTCTCATGAATAAAAATAAAATCTTAAAAAAAAAAATCTCTCTTTATGTTCATCACATTATATTTTAATTACCTGCTTACATGTCTGTCTCTTTACTCATCTCAAGAGCAGAGATGAGGTTGGGACTAGCTCCAGACCCCAGCACAGAGTTGAGCATAGAATAAGTCAGTGAATGTGGGACACTCCACCCACTCACCACCGCAAAGATAGATGAGGCAGCGATTATTATCTCCCTACTTTACAGAAAAAAACCGAGTTATGTGACCTGTCCAAGGGCCCAGAGTGAGTTAATATCAGAGCAGGGACTAGAATCCAGCTCTCCTGGTGCTTAGACAGTTCTCTGTCTCTGCTCCAAGGACAGCACTCATGGAACAGCCAGCCAAAGGGACCTGCTGAGCCATACTAGGTGTATCAGTTTCCTATTGCTGCTATAACAAACAAATCACCACAAACTTAGTGGCTGAGAACAACATACTTATTGTCTCACAGTTCTGGATGTCAGAAGTTCAAAATGGGCCTCAGTGGGCTAAAATCAAGGTATCAGCAGGTCTGCATCCCTTTCTGGAGGCTCTAGGGGAAAATCCATTTTCTTACCTTTTCTAGCATCTAGAGGCTGCCTACATTCCTTGGATCCATCTTCAAAGCTAGCAATGGCTGGTCAAGCCTTTTTTACATTGTTTCACTTTGGCACTCTCTTTTTTATTTCCCTCTTTAGTTTATTAGGATCTTTATGATTACATTGGGCTCACCCAGATAATCCAGTTGATCCCTCTCAAGGTCAATTGAGCTATAACCTTAATTCCGTACGTCAGGTGATCTAACATAACCTCAGGTTTCCAGGGATTAGGAAGTGGCCATCTTTGGGAGAAGAAGAATTATTTTGCCTACCATACTGGTGGGCAAGGAAATAATAGATCTTTGAAGCGTGGAATGACCAGACTTCCCAGTATGCCAGGTTCTGCCTTAAACCTGTCATCCCTAAATGATTATTGATAGTGCCCATTTCTCTCTCAAAAACATTCTGGCTTGGGTAGCCCCAGTGGCCGAGCAGGTTAGGGCCACCTTCGGCCCGGGGCGTGATCCTGGAGACCCGGGATGGAGTCCCACGTCGGGCTCCCTGCATGGAGCCTGCTTCTCCCTCTGCCTGTGTCTCTGCCTCTCTCTCTCTTTTTCTCTCTTTCTCTCTGTGTCTCTCATGAATAAATAAATAAAATCTTTAAAAAAAATTCTGGTTTATATGGTTACCCTAGTCATAGACTATTGGAACAGGAAGTCCAAGCCTACCATTTTGCAGATGAGGAAACTAAAGCATTGGGAAGGGGAGGAGCTTGCTCAATGTCACATAGCTACTGACAGAGTTGAGACTGGGATCCAGGTTTTTTGCCAGGAGGAGAAAGCCAGCTTGGTGCCCAGTTCAAGATGAACTATTTCTTTCATCAAGTCAAGAAGGCTTCCTAGAGGAAGCAGTAGGCAGTCATCAATGATAATGATAATGATTAAATATTTGCTATATTTTAGGCACTGTTCATTAATGCTGAATGCTTTATATGCATTATCTTGTTGGGGCCTCACAAAAATCTTTATATTTATAAAATAAGGAAAAAGAGAAATAAGGGAAAATAAAATTTGAGTGGTCAAGTGCCCAAACCAGTAAAGTCTCAAGCCCTTTTCTGTCTTATATTTAACCTAATAATCTTTCCTCTCTACCTAGAGCATTACTGGGCTTGAGGAACAAAGAGGGCTGGAAGCCTTGCCTTGGAGAAGCATGGGCTGCAGGGTAGGGAGGAAGAATGCAGAGGGGCTGATGGTTTACTGAGCCTGTGAAGTGATGAGGGAAAGGATTTGAGGATGAGGTAGCTCAGACAGTTGTGTTTAATTTCCACTGAAGACTAAAAAGATGGTCATAGCAGGAAAAATTTATTTTAAAGGGTTTAGTTATTTTTTTCCATATATGTTCAATGTAGAACATTTGGAAAATACCAGAATTAAAAGAAGATAGTAACAATTGTGATAATCCCATTCTCCCAAAGAACCACCATTAAGATTTTGGCAGATGTGGGATGCCTGGGTGTCTCAGTGGTTGAGCCTCTGCCTTTGGCTCAGGTCATGATCCTGGGGTCCTGGGAGCGAGTCCCACATTGGGCTCCCCACAGAGAGCCTGCTTCTCCCTCTGCCTATGACTCTGCTTCTCTCTGTGGGTCTCTCATGAATAAATAAATAAAATATTAAAAAAAAAAAGACTGGCAAATTCCCATACGGGGATTTTTTTTAATAAAATATGTCAACATGTGGAGAAGTATAGGAATAATATTATCAACACCTGTGTACTTGCTCTCTGGCTTAAAAATAAGCGATTACATATATAATTGATGTCTGGTGTACCTCTTTCCCATTGTGTTCCCTCCCTCCCTGATCCGTGGTCCTTCTAGGCTTTACTCTGTACATATCACTTTTACTTAGTTGATGTCTGTGTGATTTTACAATTCTGTACCAGAAGAGTTCAGGAGAGACATCATGGGGTCCTGAATGTTCCCACAGTTGGTGGGACCCAATTTTTTCTTATGAAAAATAGCAAGAAGCTTTGCACTGGCCTCCCCTTCACGCCACCGTTGGTGCTAACTGCCCAGGTGTGCAGCAGGGGATCTGATTAAGCCCTTCCCCTGCCTCCTGCTCTGCCAGTCTGACCAGCCTGTTCATCCTCTCTCTCTCTCTCTCTGTCTCCACCTCTCCCTTTTCTCCCACTCAACCACTTCCCTTGTCATCCCTGTCTCCTCTGTCAGGCACCTCTCCTTCTCGAGGCCCCTGGCCCTCTTCTCCGTGCTGCTCAGCCAGTCCCAGCAGCTGCCCAGGTGGAGACAGCAGCCAGTGCCCGAGGCCCTGCTGTCCAGGGGCCGCAAAGCCTACCCCCAACTTCCCCTGCTCATGCCTGGAATTGCTCTGCTGCAGCTAACTCCTCCACTGTCAGGACTGGAAGCGTGCTTAGAGGCTAGGCCCTCCACCCCCATTTCACAGCTGAGGAGGTAGGCTGAGAGACGAAAACTAGTCGGCCTGACAACACTAGACAGAGTGGAACGAGAACCAGAACCCAGGGGTCC